CATACTGGTTATCCTTGTTGCATACAGGTGCTAGTGGTCCAATCAAGTCCACAGCTACTCTGCTATATGGCTCTTCTATAAGAGGCATCTCGTCCAGTGGCACCTTGGCTACCTATCCTCTACATACTGTCCTTTGGTAGATGTCACATGATCTGCAGAATCTGGTCACATCTCCAGTGATCCCTGGCCAATGGAAGTTGCTGGTGGTGATTCTGCCTGCTGTCTTCTTCACTTCTAGGTGTCCTCCCCACAATCAACTCATGAGGTAACTTCATCACATGAGTGTGGTATTCTGTTGGTGCTATGATTTTTTTAATTTCCCTGGTATAACCACCTTGATAGATCTGGTGTAGCACTCCCTTCCAGTCCTCTATTATGTAGGTCCCTTTCCTTTTGGTCTTGTGCTTGAATTTCTTCCGAACACTGTCACAAAGTTTCTGCAGTACCAGGTCTTTTTTTGTGCTCTCTTCAAATCCCATAAAGCTACATTTGGGATATTACCCTTCATGACTTGCAGGGACTTCATGTCTTGCTTATTTTTCTTCTCTTGAGCTCTAGTAGTGAATCCAAATGACTCATTAGTCTTCTTTCTATCTGGTGTCTCCAAACTTATACTATTGCCAATCACCAAAATCATAGATGGGTGCCTTCATACACATGGCCTCAAAGTCTCCCAAATAATATGAAGTGTCCACTTTTATTCTTAGTATGGGAAACTTTCTCACTGTCCCATCAGTCAGCACTCACAGACTTACCTTGCCATCAGTTACTAAACTGGTTCTCACTGCTGCACCCAATGTGTTGTAGAACTTTCATTTTCTTGTCCCCTAACAAAGCATTCCATGTTGTAGTTTGTTGGCATTTCTGTTGATTCATTCACTAACTTAAGCTAATCATCTATCATGCACTGTTTAATCATGGTGATAGCACTTTCTTGTTGTGATGAATCTGACAAATTGTCCAATCAAATTCACAGCTACTCTGCTGAATAGCTTTTCTATGAAAGGCATCTCTCCCAGTGACACATTGGCCACATTCCCTCTATGTAATGTCCTTTGGCACATGTCACATGATCTGCAGAATCTGGTCACATCTCCAATGACCCCTGGCCAATGGAAGTTGCTGGTGGTGATTCTGTCTGCTGTCTTCTTCACTCCTAGGTGTCTTCCCACAATCTATTTGTGAGGCAACTTCATCACATCAGTCTGGTATTATGTTGGTACTATGATCTGTTTAATTTCTCCAGTAGAACCACCTTGATAGATTCAGTCACTCCCTTCCAGATGTATGTTCTGTAGGTTCCTTTCTTCTTCAAATCCCATGAACCTGCTTTTGGGATGTCACCCTTTACAACTTGCAGGGGCTTCATGTCTTGCTTGCTTTTCTTCTCTTGAATTCTAGTGGTGAATGCAAATGCCTCATCAGTCTTCTTTCTGTCTGGTGTCTCCAAATTTCTACTATTGCCAATCACCAAAATCATAGATGGGTGTCTTCATACGCATGGCCTCAAAGTCTCCCAAGTAATATGGAATGTCCACTTTTATTCTTAGTATGGGAAACTTTCTCACTGTCCCATCAGTCAGCACTCACAGATTTACTTATCTGGTGTCTCCAAACTTCCACTACTTGGTAGTTTGCCAACCACCAAAATCATAGGTGGGTACCTTCATAAACATGACCTCAAGGTCTCCCATGTAGTATGGAGTGTCTACCTTTATTTTTAGTATGGGAAACTTTCTCACTGTTCCATCAGTCAGCACACGCAGATGTACCTTGCCTGTCATCTGGCCATCAGATACTAAACTGGTTCTCACTGCTGCACCCAGTGTCTTGTAGGACTTTCACTTTCTTGTCCCAGACATAGCCTTCACCTTCTGGCATGTTTGTCACATGCTCCGAACACTACTGGTACTGTTGACTCATATGTTAGCTTAAGCTGGTCAGCAATCATGGTGATAGCACTTCCTTTTTGTGGAGAATCTGATAAGTTGTCTTTATTCTGTTTCTTCTTGCAGCAGCATTCATGGTGTGTCACTTTTTTTTGTTTCTTGCCAGCATATAGCTCCAGCTGACTTAAGTTGACATTTCTGCTGGTGCTTGTTGGTAACAGGCTTGCACTCACTTTATAACAATAACAGCATCGCTTCTCCCTTTTAGCTGTTGAATGCTTGTCACTTTCATTGGCATCCTGTTTCTGGTCAGCCACCCATGGTTTCAACTTTGACTAGTTATTGTTGGTCTTGCCAGTTTTACTCCCTCAATGGGCTTTCTTATACTGTTCTGCCATCTTGATCATCTTGTCCACTTCTTTCGGTGCTCTTTCTTTTAGGAACAGTAACATGTTGGTGGAGCATGTGGTCATGAACTGTTCACATATTAGTAGATCTGCCAGTCTTTCAAAACTATCTTCACACTTGGCCATGTCAGTCCACCTTGTGAAGTATTGCCACAGATGTGCCACATACTGAAATACAGTTTCTCCAGTGTCAGGTTTTTACATCTCTAAAGTTTCAGTGAAAACCTTTCTCGGTAAGTTTACAGTGTTTGAGCAAGGCCACTTTTAACTTTTCATAGTCCATGGCATCTTCTGATGTCATACACACCTACACATATAGGTCTTTTCTTATAAGAAGTGTGTTGAGACAGACTGCCCAGTTGCCTTTGTCCCATTTCTGACTTTGGGCGAATCTTTCATACCCCTCCAGGAAAGCATCCATGTCATTCTTCTGTTCATCAGAATTGGGAAGCATGGGTCGGCTGGCCCTGACCCTATAATCATTCTTGGGTCCTCTATCATTCTTTTGGGTGAACTTAGCAATCTCAATTTGTGCTCTTTTTATCTCTCCCTTTTTGAACTTGTTTTTCACACTCACATCTTCCTTTAGTCTTTTTCTTTCTTCCTCTCTTCTCTGCTTATCTTCTTCTCTCCTCTGTTGATGTTCTACTCACTCTAGATCTTGTTATTGTTTAACAAATTCTTGTATATCACTATCTTTGAACATAAGTCACATGCCCACTCTACCATTTATCAAAGTCAGTTGATATGGTTATATAGTATGGTTGTGACCTCTGCAATATTTTCCCCACCACTACGACTGTGCATATATAGTCTTGTTTGCCACTGTTGTTTATATCTAATTATACTACCATTTACCATTGTAGATCTTGGCTGGCTCACCACTGTCAGTTTTTATGTATTGGCCAGATTTATTACAGTAGGTGCCTGTGACTTGTTAAATGAAGTCAAATGTATATACAAATGTTTGCTACACTGTTGGTTATCACAGTTCTAACCAGAGCTTTAAATAATTGTCTTTTTATCATTATAGTCCACCCAGGCTGGTTCAGTTACTTTAGAACACTATTTGACAAGACAAATTATTATTCCTGCTCTGTTCTTACAATACAGTCTGTGATAATTTCACTTTAAAATCACCACTACAACTATTGGTTACCATAGTTGTATCCAGAGCTTTTAATAATGGTCAAAGTCCACACAGGCTTGTTCAATTACTTTAGAGTTTTCTGCTCTGTTATTACAATTCAATCTGTGATAATTTTACTTTAAAAAATCACCATTATATGCTCTTTATTACTAAACTCATAATCAAGCAGTCTAGATTTTGAACTTAATTTCTAACACATATTTATACCCTGACAGAAGTCTAGAAAGTTCCACCCACTACTAGATATTATGATGCAATAATACTCAATTAAACAACGAGAAAAACTCAGAAGGTTGTAGTACCATGATGCAATAATACAACAATCATCAATTCATAGCTATTGAACTACATTATTGCTATATAAACTATGTAACTCATAACTCTCTCATTAAACTTAAGTTGAAACATTCTTTTATATCTAACACTCAGTTGCCTTATCCAAACCTCATACCTACTTATGGACTATCATGAAAAAAGCCAGCATCAAGGAAGTAACCGCCTATTCTTAGGCTCGCACTTGTCGGATTTTAATTATTAGGTTTCACAGTCTCCCATTGCACTTTCTCCAATAAATAACTTTTCCAGCAGCATCTGCTGGGAATCCAGGCATTTCTTTGTGTCTCTCCAATGCCAGTTCTTCTCCCTACTTCGTGTGGAGCATGGAAGTCCCTTGACACTTACCATGTCTTAGCTGCTGAGGTGGTGGATCTTGGAGAGTTCCTCACTGATTGAGCCCAGCAAAATATGGTGAGAAGTAGGATGGTGGTGGCACTAATGATGTAGCGCAGGTCTCCACTCAAACAGCTAATGTGCCTTCCTCCTGTAGTCTGAGTCTGTCCAGTTGATTCAAGGTGAAAACATCTTGTGCAGGTCTGATCATGCTCTAAGCACACTACACTTCTTGGTTTACTGACCACTTGTGTGCAAGTTCTTGAGTGGTAATGTTTTCTTTCCATCCAGCATCATCCCTTGGGCAGTGGGCTCATGATTCTTAATGGCCATGTTCTACAGAGGTCTTTGTAAGTAATATTTGACTTTCTACTACCTTGTTTAGGCTGTCTATTGTATGGACCGGTTTTTAATAGCATTTTTACAACCTTCCTATTACAGACATGAATATGTATGTTTCTGTTCAGCTCCCAAAATTTGAAAAGCTCTGACAGTCTGTATTTCCATTAAAAACCTCAATTCTCTGCTAACAGGTAATACTGTCACACAGTATACAAAAAATATTTAAAACTGGAGTGATCAGCAAGTAATGAAATTTGAAGGAAAATGTGCCTTTCTGTGACAATTAACACAGATAAAATGTACCGAAACAACTGTGCATAACTTGTAATGTGAAGTGTGCAAATAAATAAAGAATTTTATTATTATTATTATTGTTCAGACATAATTTAAAAACATTTTCCCTTGTTCATAGATTTTTGGTAATATAGCATTTTGTACAAATAACAATGGACAGTATTAAACTGTTTTTTTAAAAATATTCTATTATGTGAGTATAATTTACATTTTTAAACATAAGTGTATAATTTTTTATTTATATTACAGGTTATTATGTTGCTGGATCACAGTCTACATCTACACTTGATAACTCAATCGAATACTTTGCTGGTGTAATGAAAAGAGAACTGTTAGAAGGTGCTAGTGGCACAACCATTAGATGTGGAGTCATTGGGGAACTTGGTTGTTCTTGGCCTCTTCATGGTTAGTTGTAATTTTATGAAATAAAAGCACTAAGTGAAAGCTTTCTTATTTCCCATATTTTCAGGCATAAATAACTTCTTCAAAAATGATGAAATTATTAGAATCAATTTAGGAATTATCTACAACTAAGTTTGTTTTGCAGCTTTAGTCAAAGTAGTAACAAATATTAGAACCTGTTATTTTATATGAAGATTGGGGAAAACTTCAGCTTCTCTAAGTAAACATGGACATGAAGGTTGCTAATTACTTATGAATCCTGAATCACATACAGGAATTTGCTCAAAATTCTAATAGAACATTCAATCAAAGACCACCTTAAAAAGTTGTTGTTGTTTTTAAGCAAAAAGGGCTATCTGTGCCCTGCCCACCATGGTTATTGAAACCCGGTTTCTAATGTTATAAGTCTGTAGACATACTGCTGTGCCACAGTGGGGCACCTTAAAAAGCAGACTTATTCATGAAACAACACTCAAAACCTTCCTTTCCAATAGTTAAGACCACCCAAACATTCATATTAAGCAAAATAAGTGATTTCACAACTGTAGACAAAATCAAGGTTTGCCTATTTCTTCATATTATTATTGTTATTAATATTATTGTTCACAAGCCTACAGCAAAATTGGTTGGGTTTATTGTAACCAAAACCTAGACAAATATACTATATGAAATGCTGCAAAAGTCCATGACATATTTAAAAATTGAAAGTTTATTTACGTGGTTATAAATGTATAATAGATGCAATGTTGTTCTGAGCCGCTACTTTTGTACTTAATGCATGTTAAATGTATCTTTACACGGAACCTCAAGTACAAAGCCACCTGGATCATTAAATAATTACTTTAAAAGACACAAAACCTTATTTGAAGTGAAGTTGTAGATGTATTTGTTTTATTTGAAAAGGCTGCTTTTCTAATGGTAAAATTTATAGCCGCTTAGTGGGGGTCGTGTTTTGCTCTAGGCATACACTTGCCCATTGCTGTGCATTAAAAAACCCAACATACAAGATAATTAAAAACTGAGAATTTAAAATCTACAAATAGAGATTGCAAGAAAGTAAGCACACAAGGCTGGAGATCTACAGGTGGCAGTTTGCTGAAGCTAAAAATTCCTATTATAACTCCACTATAAAATTATTGCACATGATTTCTACTGTAATGTGGGATCAAACAGGAATTTTGCAAAAAACTGAGATTAGTTTAAACTTTATTCAATCTTCTTAATTTTGTCATGATGTGAAATTTTCTAAGTCCTTCATGTGCACATTAGTTGGAAACTACAACTCATACATTTTCATCGTTACTTGAGTTTGCTGTCTCTATGCGGATATCCGCATGTTTTTAACAGTTGACGATTACCGTAGTAGATTTTTCTACTTAAATGATGGTGGTAATTCTTTCTACTGTTTCTTATACTTAGCTGAAATTGTGAGTGAATATTCAGTATTTATTACCACTGCATATAGCACTATTTCATATATCTATTACTATTTTTAAATAGAGGATGAAGGTAGCAGTTGTATATGTTGTTGATAATTGACAACTTATGCTAAGTGTGTCACTGTTGTCTTTTTTGCATGAGTTACTTGTGTTGCCTTATTCTAGCAAACACTAGTGCACAGCAAGCTGTTGAAGAACATACATAAATGTCATGTAGACCTAACAAGGTAACCATGTTACTACATCTGTTTACATTGCATTATTTTGTGTTGTACTATCTTAGAAGAAACATTATTACATTCTGAGGAGATTGCTTTGTAGCTGCTCGTCTTTTGTTACATTACACTGTGACATTGATGGAAGCCAGTCATTAAATCAGTGATGATACAATCTTTGCTTTCAAGATGGTCCTTTTAGAATAACTTAACATTTTGTTTATTGTAGTAGAATACCTGTACGTGTGTTTATTCTTTGTTGTACATTTGTTATTTATTTTGAATAAGTTCAGTGTGGTGGTTGGATGGAATAAAAAAGCCAATGCAGCAGTAAACTGTTGAAAAACATCTAACATTCAATTGAACGTCTATATACATACATATGTAGCTTGAAATTTATTCTCCATAATTTAAAAAGGGGAAATAGGGATCATCTACAAAGTACAGAAGAAAGTTGAATCAAAATGCTAAGATTATATTTTCAAGCCTACAGCTAGGGACTCTAAAAAGTAAATAAACAAGGTTTGAAATAGTGTCTACATTATTATTCTTTAGTTACAAATCCCTGTTTTGACTCCATTAAAATTGATAAGTTCTATAGACATAGAATCAAAATAAGGATTTGTAACTTGAGAAAATAATGTAGACACTATTTCAAGCCCTGTTTGTTTGCTTTTTAAAGTTCCTAGTTGTAGGCTTGAAAATATAATCTTTGCATTTTGATTCAACTTGTTTCTATACCAATAATGCCTGGAGACGGCTTGAATTGGTAATGAAGAAAAACTTTAATATAAGTTTAACATAACAGCAAATGTACAATGTTTCGCCAAGGTTTTGTCATCATCGTGTGCAAAACGTTGTCAAAGCGTTGTACATTTGCTGTTATGTTAAACTTATATTAAAGTTT